CTATGAATCGGATATTTCATGACTACTTGGATAAGTTTGTCATCGTGTCCCTCGATGACATACTTATTTTTAGTAAGACTGTCGAGGAGCACGTTACGCACTTGGACAAAGTCCTTAGTCTTCTTCGACAGCACAAGTTCAAGATCAACAATGAGAAGTGCGAGTTTGGCCGCACCCGTGTCTTGTACTTGGGTCATGAAATTTCCGCGGAGGGTTTGAAGCCCGATGACGCAAAGGTGGCCAGCATTCGTGACTGGCCGCGTCCTCAGTCTGTGACTGAGATGAGGTCCTTCTTAGGAATGGCAGGCTACTACCGCAATTTTGTTTAGAATTACAGCATAGTGGCCGCCCCTTTGATGAACCTGACTCGCCTTGACACCCCATGGGAATGGACAAATAGGTGTGAGGCTGCTTCCAGACATCTGAAGCATGCGTTGACACACCATGAGGTCTTGAAACTTCCCGATCCTGACAAACCTTTTGTAGTAACTACGGATGGTAGCCAACATGGCATAGGCGCCGTACTTGCGCAGCAGGAGGGGAAGAAGTTGAGGCCGGTAGAGTACATGTCCAAAAAGATGCCCTCTCAGAAGTTGGCTAAGTCCACCTATGAGAAGGAACTCTATGCGATCTACAAGGCGCTCACCCATTGGAGGCACTATCTCCTTGGGAGGTTCTTCTACGTCAGGACTGATCACCAGACCCTGAAGTGGATGAGAACCCACCTTGTGCTCTCCGACGCTCTGAAGCGTTGGATTGAAGTTATAGAGCAGTATGACTTTGAGCCCCAGTACATCAACGGCGAGTACAACAAGGTTGCTGATGTGTTGTCGCGTAGACCAGATTTCTCCGATGCGCTGATCACTCAGTATGGGCTTGCGGACGATGTTACTCGCTCTATGGTGGAAGCCTATCGCGAGGACCGGTTTATGTCTGAGATCATACGCAGACTCGAGGCGAAGGACAAGGTGACTTCTGCCGAGTTTGAGTTGGTCAACGGACTGTTGTTCCTTGAGAAGGCAGGGAATAAACGTTTGTGTGTGCCAAATAGGGAGTCTTTGCATAGTTTATTTTTAGGTGAGTGTCATGATGCCACCGGACATTTTGGCTTCAAGAAGACTGCAGCCAATCTGCTGCAACGGTTGTGGTGGCCCACGATGATGAGAGATGCCAAGTTGCATGTGGAGACTTGTCAGGTCCGTCAGAGAGACAAGCCTCGTACACAGGCCCCTCTTGCGCTCCTCAAGCCCCTTCCAATTCCGGAAAGGCTCGATGAGAGCCTGTCCATGGACTTCATGGACATGCTGGTCACCAGCAAGAGTGGAATGAGACACATCTTTGTTATCATGGATAGGTTTAGTAAGTACGCAAGGTTAGTTGCAATGTCGGAGACAGCGAAGACCGAGTATGTGATTAGACTCTTCAAAGAGAACTGGGTCAGAGACTTTGGGCTCCCAAAGTCTATTGTTAGTGATAGGGATGTCCGATTCCCAAGTGAGTTGTGGAAGGCTGCAGCTGCAGAACAGGGAACACAGCTGCAGATGACTTCTGGGAACCATCCCGAGGCCAATGGCCAAGCAAAGCAGCTTAACCGCGCTGTTGTGGCATTACATCAAGCCCAATCAGGTGGACTGGGATTAGAAACTTGCTCTCATCGCCAGCTTGTATAACAATGTTGTGCACAGCGCCACTGGAGTAAGTCCTAACAGTCTGCTACTGACTTTCAAGCCTAGACTGCCCCTAGACTTTCTGCTACCTGACAATCAGTCAACTGCTGCACCCGGCACACTTGAGTTTGCCTATCGCTATGAACAATTGATGCAGCAGGCAGTAGAACAGATGCACAAGGCACAGGCGGCAATGATAGAATCTAAGAACAAACACCGCCACCCATCTACATTTCAGGTAGGGGACAGAGTCTGGGGAAAATCCTCAGAACTGGGACAGGAGCACGGGATCTCCTGTAAGCTCATGCCACAGTACTTTGGGCCATGGGAGGTTCTAGATGTTGTTGGGGAAGATCCGGATGGGCCATCCTATGTTATCCGGATCCCTGGTCATCTCCGCTTTTACCCTGTCTTTCACACCTCCAAGCTTGCACCATTCAAGGAAACTGACCAGTTTCCCTCTCGTCGCTCAATGCTGCCCCCAACCATGGATGGAGAGGTCAACATCGACGACATCGTTGACCACAGGTCCACAGGGAGATGTCAGTTCCAAGACCGACAGGCAGAGGACGTCCTCCAAAACCGAAGCTGCAGTACCGGGTTCGGTTCAGACATCACACTGATCCAAAGGAGGATAGATGGTTCACACGGGAGGAACTGATGCAGACTGCTCCAGAGGTCGTCGCTCACTACGAGAAGTCTCTACAGAAAGGAAAACGCCAGATTATCAAAGATTGAACTTCTCAGAGGACTATCGAAGTATGGAGGAGGGAATGCGAGGCATAGGGCCTCGATATGCCCTACAGGGCCTAATTTTCACACAGTCGACCGCCCTAAGTGAAGGCAGGCACGACCGAGGCCCTACAGGCCATATCAGGGTCACCACACAACTGGGGAAATTCAGGCAGTTGCGCAGCGCCAGTCGGTTGGAAGCACCCAGGCCCAGGCTGCCTTTCATTGCATGTCACTGAGGCAGGCCCTGGGCCGGATACACAAAGTGGACCGAACGAAGGCTGATGGCAGTTGGGTGCTGGTAACCGCCACAGGCCCTGGGCCTGTTTCCTTCGGACTGAGGCTCAGCCTCCCTGGGCCTACCGGAAGCTTCTGGACCGGGGCCCAGTACCGCAGCAGCAGGCCACTTCAATATAGGGAAGAGCCTGCCCACGCATTGGACATTCGGGCACTGGCTGCTTTGTGCGCAAGATCTGCTGCGCTATTGCCTGCCAAGCTCACGCGCTCACGGGCGAGCTGGAAGGAGCAGGCAGCCATAGCGGAGCTGCGCTGCTGTATGCTGGATGGGGTGCATGGTGGTCCTTGGGTGCAAGTGGCATCTGTGAGTTGGGGAACGAGGTTGTGAGTGATACGAGAGACATACCTGGTGCTTGACGCGTGCAGCATTGGCCGAGGTCTGCTCGTACTTGGGAAGTTGTTGACGTCATCAGCGACATTGTAGCCTAGGCTAGATAGGATCTGCAATTCGTAGTCTGGGCGCCGAGCGCCAGATAGGATATCAACATTGGTTCTTCGTTGATGACAATGAGACTATTCCAGCATTGTCAATTATGAGCTTTTGGTGTGCTCTTATTTGGTGAAACTCATGATGCAATTCTGCTTTTGGTTCAAGATCACGACTATCTGGTCTCATCTGTATGATGCTGTTTGATTGCTGAAGTTCGCTATTGCTCATCTTCCTTGCAATTATTATTATTATTATTATTATTATTATTATTATTATTATTATTATTATTTTGACATCTCCTTTTTCCGAATTTCATTTTCAAATTTCTCGACAATTACTTAAATTAACTTAAAATCCTATCTAAATCCGTTAATTTACACTAAAATAAGTTAACTTCAATTGCAAGGAATATGAGTGGGAACGATATACAGAAAACCAAGTTGCGAAATCACACAGATGTCCAGGTAGTCGTATCCAAGCAGAGAGTACAAAATGCACCGAGAAACCATCCATATAAAGCAATACAATGGAGTAACGAGCCAATGTTCAAGCCCGTGTGCCAACACAGTATCCAAAGTCGCTCCTCTCTGTCTGGCGCCCAGCGCCCAACCTACTCTGCCCGACTATCCTACCTACAGCTGGTTTATGCAACAGGCTCACTTCGACTCTCGAAGACCAATGTACATGACTGTCAACTCCATAGCCGACCTCTTCATGCACCAGGTACGTATCACGTCACCCTCGATCAGACCTTGATTACCCCACACTTGCCTCCTTCCCTGAAGACCACCTGATCACTTGCTGTACCCCCCTGGCGCCCAGCAGCTCGGCTACCGCTGCCTGCGCCCTGCTGCCCTGCAGCGCCCCACTTCACCACTACGCGCCCCGTCAGCGCCCTTGGCAGCAGCGCAGCATCAAGCGAGAGCGCAGCAGCACTTCCGCATTGCCAGCACTGGCCAGATTCCTAACCTGGGCTGCTCTCCTCCTTTTGTGGAAGTGGCAGCCTCCTGGATGCTGCATGTGTCCTCGCTGGAAGCTTCCAGTAGCTTCCGGTTGGGCCTCAGACCCTGCGCCCAGGCCCGAGACTACAGTTGAGGGCCTGGGCCCTTTTCAGTTGGGCACGGCCTGAGTTTCCGGACTTGGGCTGTTCGCTGCAACTGTGCAGGGCTCCCAGGCAGGGGCGTCGGCGGTACTGCGTTGAAAAAGGCCGATGACCTGCTTCCCAATGTATCGACCCTGCTTTGTGTGTATGTGCCCAGGCGCAACTGTCAAGGCCTGGGTCGACTGTACGACGCAGCTTTCTGAGGCTCACGCATCTACCCAACCAACTGGCGTGCTGCAAGAGCCTGAATACCCACATATGGAAATGTCGAATTTTGCTTCTGACGAATATTCAGGCCCGCCTTCACTTAGGGCGGGCACTTGGCTTGCTGGGCCCCTTGAGTGCTTGTTCCTCGCACAATCAAATCAGTTTTAGTATTTAATTCATTTAATAAAATAATATTAAAATTCGTTGAAATTAATTACAGTCGCTTTAAATTCGTTTCAAAATTCAAATTTATTAAAATCCCTTAAATTACATTGATACCCATTCATTAAATATTAATAATTTAAATTTGCATTTAATCCATTAAATTAATTTTAAATTCAAATAAATCGTAATGAACCCAGTCTGGCAGATACTTAGAAGTCGTCAAACATCAGCAGTCTCATTATCTGCATCAAAGTCTCCAAATTGTGAAGTGATATCTCAAACACTATCTCATTATCATCACAAGAAGAGAGTGGAGGGGGAACAGACAAAGGAGAAGATGAAAATCACACAGTAATCCCTTCTGACCCCTCTCCTTCTCCGGGCTTCTTCCCTCTCCACGTCAACAATGATAATAAGTTTATTCCTGATTACACACAATAGTGCCACGTGGCACTTTATCTCGTGAGGACCATGAAGACATAGCAGATTCCCGTGACGACGTCAACCACAGGTGAGTACCCGACCTCCTTCATCCACAGATCCCGATCTTCCTCCTCTTTGCAACCAGTCACCTCATGTAGACACTCTGACGAAACAGTTTGTCACAGCCCCTCGTTTGTTGTCCTCTTCTCCCTCTCTGCCTACGGTTTACCGCGCAGTTCTATTTGACGATATATATATCATATATATACAAAGAGAAATGAAAGGACAGACAGGCAAAGAGACAGACAAACCAGAATGACACAAAACAGTGTCCTCTTATTCTTTGTTTCACAGAATTATTATTTCTTTCAGTGTTTTACAAAAAAAAAAAAAATACACTGAATAAAAGGATAAAAATAAAAAACAAAGACACATTGAAATCATTCAGTTTCTCAGTCTTCTTAACGCCTCCTCCACTATGCCTCTAACGTACAAGGCTCGCCACTTTGATGAAGTTGAGCGCGAGCTGCCCCCATCCCCGTATGCCATTACAGCCCACTCGCACGCTATGGGAAAGAGGCAGAGTGAAGGAAGAGGTGTTAAACACAAGGAAGAGAGGAGCACAAAAGGAGAACCGATAGGCAGACGGAGAAGAAACAAAAAACGTGACCCAAACATCTTCTTTTTTTCACTGCATTCTTCTTTCTTACAAAGTTTTGCAGTTTTGGTGAAGAGTCTACCACGTTCGCTTTTCAGCGCACCTGCACTTCCTTCTTCATTTCTCATCTTCATTTTCACCCTTCCGACTTTTCTTTTGAGGGTGTTAGGGTGCAGGGTACAAACAAAGTAAGATGACACAAACTTATGTTCTTCTTTTACTGCATTCTTCACAGTTTTGCAGTTTTAGTGAAGGGTTCTCCACCTTTGCACATTCTTGTACACTCTTTTCAGTGCACCTGCACATTTTTGTCAGGGTGCAAGGTACGTCTAAGTAAGACCCTCACGACAGATAGGACAACTGTCATAAGGATGCGGGCGATGTTAGCAGCCCTCCCGCTGATCTGCAGGACGAAAACCATTCAGGTAAGCAACTTCGTCACAGCAGGAGCCAGGGCGGCTAACATTAACCATACCTCTGAAGCATGCACGACAGAGGGCATGCCGGTTGCAGGCCATGACGATTGTGGGGCGTTCACCATCACAGTTAAGTGCACATTCATTATAGCGCCCGCAGGCACAGATGGGACATACTGCATCTGGATGTAGAGGATGTTCACAATCCGGATACAGGTGGCATCCCTGCCGACAGCGGGCCCGATAAATTATACGGTTATAGTGATGTCAACAAGGTCGATGCTTTCCACAACCAAGTGTAACTGTGTCAGTGATCTCACAAAGGAGGTCACAAGGTGTTAGTGCAGCATGTGGGGGAATGAGGACTAAAACAGGCACGGTGACAGACATGGAGGTAGGCACGGAGACGAACACAAAAACGGGCATGGAGACAGGTGTAGAGGCAGGCACACAGACAGGTGCAGAGGCGGGGACGGAAATACGCGTAGTACCCACAGAGTCAGTAATCTGGAAGGAGACAGGCACAGAAACAGGCACAGAGACAGGTACGGAGGCAGGCACAGAGATAGACGTAGAGGCGGGCATGGAAGTACACGAGGTACCCATAGGGTCAATGACCTGG